CTTTCCCTGCAGGTGTGTCAAGCACAAGGCGCGTTTCAGAGTCCCAGTCTTGTCTAATGAGAAGTTGATGTTCAAGTTACTTAAAGGTGCAGCATCTGCTTATATTATGTCACTTTTTTAGTAGCTGGAAAACTTGCAAAGGTACCTGGTTTGTGTGTCTGCCAGACCCTTTTTGGACTGTTATTTACTCGACCCTATTTTACTGCTGCTTAAATGACACATTTTAATGTTGAGGTTTGATACTCTTCACTAAGTTTGCAGAGTTCAAATTCAGGAGAGGGAAAGTCATTATCAGGGTGTAAGTCCAGTCCTGATTCACTTGTCTGGCTTGGATACAGTTGTCCCAGCCTTGGGTGCTTCTGGAATTTCTCATCAAGACAATTCAGTTGGAATTCTAGCTCTTCCATCTGCAGAGTGAAAACACAGATGGTTTCTTTTCTGTATTTACCATAAAGTAAGTAAGTTACAGCTTGGTAATCAAGAGCTTTTGAAAGGAAGTACCTTTTTGCTTCTTTGAAGAAGCTGAGAATCCTAACAATGTACTGCTTTCCTTCACCATGAATTCAGTCAGTACATCACCTATTGCAAGTGAACTCAGGTTCAGCATGATCCTTGTAAGATTTTTACCTTAATCCCAGCACCCTAACAGAGTTCTGGACAGTTGACTTGTTTACAGTAAAAAAATCCTTAGTTCTGCACTAGTGGGGGGATTAAAAGCTGCATTTACTATTTGTAAGGATAGTGATGGCTTGAATCCAGAAGGTAACCTGCACAGTGGATGTGGTTTCATGCAGCATGGCAGCACAGAGCTCTGGTCATGATACCCAGAGTAAGGAGTTATTCTCCAGCTTGGTCTCTGATAGGAAACTTACTGAAAATGTTGAATCTGTTGTGGTTTCTCATCCTCTATTCTGACAGTCATTTACTGTGCTTGGGGGAAGTATCTGAATGAATGGGATTGTATGGCAGTGCAGTTAAAATTAACTTGTCTCCAGTGATTAATCCCTGTACCTGAATGCCAGTGTTTGCAGACTCTTCAAAGGGTTAGAAGAATTGAACATATCTTTTGAGAATGAAGGTGTGGTTGCTTCATTGATACTCCCTGTGAATAACACTGTAGGATTTCTATAGCAATTCTACACCCAGAAAGAATCTGACTATTATAAATGTGCCTACCTGTGCTTTTAAGATTAAATATTAACTGGACTAAATAAAATGTCAGTTGTGTTCTTAGGATAGCTGCTTAAAAATGGCAGTGATTAAAGCTTACAACACTTAAATGTAGATTTCAGTAAATTAACTGGACTTCAGAATGTAAACTATTTGGATCAAGTGTGTCACTTATTTAAATAACCATTTGCTTTGTTTTTAGGGGGAATCTGTAAAGTATTTCTTGGACAACTTGGATAAACTTGGAGAACAAGTAAGTTCTATTTTCTTTTTCAGTCTTAAGTTTTAAGTAGCCTTTGTGATCTCTGGGTTTTAAACTGCTGAAATGGAATTAGTGTCTACTTAAATAACCTTAGTTAACTTTGTCCCATTATCTCAGCAGTTCATCACTGACATGTCAAAAACACAGGGCAATGCAGGGGCCAAGAGACTTTCTGGAAAACTTCTGTAGAAAGTGAACAAAAAGCAAGTTGCAAATGCTTGTCTGGTCAGAAGGCTGTTAAAGTAGCACTTCAGTACCAATTGATACCCAAAAATGACTGCTTTTGTTTTTACAAATCCAGTCAGGGACACGAAGTTAAATCAGTGCACTGGTCAGTGGCACCTTTCTGTAGTGTCTACTTTAAAATAAACAAACTTGGTCCAGAATCAACTTACTTTCTCTGGGGAAAAAACTCAGACTTCTGTAGAATACTTTTTGAGAGGAATGCTGATGAATTATTATTTTTTATGACATGGTGGCTACTGTTGAATAATGAAGTTGTATGCTGATACTCATTAGGTGTGTATTGCAGAAATGTGGAAAAACTGCCTTTAAAATTCTAGCTTCAACTCCATGGGGAGCCAGTTTCTCCATGGTCATTTCCAGCTGACGGCTAACAAAGGATGAAGGAATCCAAACCACTTCAGTCAAATCCTGTTACATCATGCTTAATTTCATTTTTCTTCTTGTCTCCAACAGATGAAAATAAAATTTTAAGCCAGACTATTTTTCTGCTTTGAACTGTCATTTTTCTAACTAGAGCACTGGTCATCTTGCAGAATTGTGTGCTTCCCAGACACCTTGCTTGAGAGCCCCAGCATTTGGTCTCGGAGTTTTGATTTGATCTGGAGAGCTGCATTCACTTTACTGAACTGCTGCACTTTTCTGCTAATGGTGAATTTCTTATGGTCCTTGAATCCAATGCCACTTTAGTTTCAGAGGTGGTTTGTTTGGGTTTTTTCCCCATACATTTAGGTACATTAGGGTAAAGATTTTTGCAGCTTCTTTTTGAAGTTCTTTTACTTAGAAGCCTTGGTCCTTTTTTTTTTTTTTTAAATGAAAGCATGAAACTAAAGTCTCTAGGGTTTCTGTATTTTTGTATACACACTTATTGTAGGTCTGGTGTTGCTGTGGGAATGCTGAGCTCTGAATTACAGCTTTTCTGGTTTAAAGTTAGACTGAATGGTGCTGAGATAGAGAGGGAGATCTGCTGTCATAGAAGACGTTGGGTCTTTGTGGGAAAAGTGCTAGCAAAGCTTTTGTTTCTGAGTGAAAGATTTTATAGGTTCTTATGATTTACTCTTATCTATATGTAAGATTTGTCTAAAGATTGTTTCCCCAAACTGTTTCAATGTAAGTATTTTACTCTTCTTATCTGTTATCTGCTACAACTGGGCTGACCTGCAACTAAATTGCTTATAAACAGATATATCTGCTATTCATGTGCCTCCTGCCAAAAGGGAGCTAATGTTAACAGCACATAGGGAAAAGAACTTAATGTTCAGATTTAATCAGATCAGCAAAATAAAAGTCATTGGCTGGTATATACACTTGGGATTGGCTGTATTCCTTGTAACTGTTTGTTGTTATTTCATCTGCCAGTGCAGACTATGTGTATTCCAAATATGTCCTAGAGACACATTAGTTTCCATGTTGTGATTGGATTGTATTGATGCCTAAAGTTCTAATATTAACTAGGCAAACAGTGATGTGGTAGCCAAAAAAGCTACCTGATAATCAAAATCAGTCCTTTAGAAGAAAACAGACTGTAGTGAATTTGAGAAAAGAGGTAATTCAGGAAGAAAGCACATGTTTTAAGTCAGTATCAGTATGTATCCTTGGGAAGAGCTGCACAGAAAATAAAATAAAAAACCTCCTGCCCTCAAATAAAAAATAAATAAAAGCCCCCAAAATGGAAGGAGATGAAAAGGAAAGTTTGTAAGGTTGGTCAAAGTGTAGAAAAGGAGGGTGTGCTTGGTGGTGCCTGCAGGCAAAGCACTGACTGACTGATGAAATATTGAAATGGCTTAATACTTAGTGCTGTCCAAGGAGAATATTCAGCTGATGCTGCAGTCTTCAGGTGTGCAAAATGGGACCAGCAGTGACAAAGGGATAGTTCAGAATTGCTGCAGTGCAAGCTGCTAGTATCCCAGGGATCTGGGCTGGAGGGAGGAAACTTAATCGTCCTTCAAAAAGATAAGAAATCTCCCAGTGCTGTAGTTAGGAATTGTTGTATTCAGTTTCCTGTAGCCAAATGGGGGCTGTGTAGCAACCACTTGACTTCCAGTGCACTCATTTGCAGACTGTTGCATCAGAGGAACCATTATCTGGTATAAAACATGGTAGATCTTCTGTGCATGTAGATCTTGAAAGCATTTGAAAGGATTTTATTTGTGGTTGCAAGTGTGGAAGGAATTTTAAATGAGTAATAGTACTTGAGAGGGAATTTCTCAGGAATTCTAGGGATAAGCTCCTTGTTCTTGAAAGCTTTACTGAATAAACATTACCAGCCAACTCCCAGAATAGTTTGCTTTGTGCTTGTTTAAATATTGAAGGCATATATGGCCTTCCATGTTATATTAATTGATTTTATTTATTTACTTACTTAAATAATTTCAGTCACTCCTGAGCTTTCCTAAGACTGTCTGGTTTTGTTCTGAGAACTTGAAACTAACTTCCTGAGTAGTAAATTATATGTTCCTATTTGAAAGATGGAATCAGTGTTGAACCTGCAACATTCTGTTGCCTAAATCTTATCAGTCAGCTTTACTCAAAATCCCTCCACATTTGCCCAGGGATGTTTGATACAGTCATTGCTCTATTCCTCTAATTGTTTTCCCTCTCTTAACAATTTTTGGTAGAAAATACCCAAGATAAATGTAACAAAGAGGAAAATCTTATTGTCCTTTAAAGTTGCTTCTCTTAATCAGACAAAGGGTTTGGCAGCATGTGCTTATTGCTCAGTTTGGAGAGAACATGGTGCTGCTTTAGCAGTTCAACTCTCCTGCAGATTTAGGTGGTGTGGGGTTTGGATGTGCAATGGTTCCACAGTAGAATGTGCAGGGTGGGGATCCTGTTCTCCAGAGAACTGCTTTCTAGCTCCTGCCTCAATAAAAGGCAGTGTCTTAGTCATGGGCAGCTCAAATAAAGAAACCCGGGAGCTCAAACAAAGCAGCATCTCCTGAGCTCATTTCACCTTTGATCTTACATAGTAAAGCAAAGTGATACTTGAGTTTTTGAAACGTGATGCTCACTTTATGATTTTAAACCTTGCTTCCTTAAAGGCTGTGGATCAAACTTGCCCAACTGCCTTAAAAATACTAGTATTTAGATAGCCATGTACTGGTGTGTTTGTTCCCCCAAACCTAGCTTACTGCTTGACTCAGACCTTCAGGACCATGGTCTGACACATCGTTTATAGAAGCTACAAGTGTGGTAATTGGCACTGCCAAAGGAAGATCCCAGAGCAGTCACTAAGAGAAGACTAAAATTCAAAGTCTGAGACCTAAATTGCTCTCTCTGAAGTTGTGAGAAGTGCTGGAAAAATGTAAGGAAGAGTTTCCATAACAAGTGAACAACAAAGCTTTAAACTTCAGCATCAGCCAGCTGTCTGTTTTAGATGCACTTTTTAAATAGCAGAAAGACTTGGACCCTGCACAAAAGTGTAATTCTAAGAATGCCAAAATCCCCAACACAAGTCTTGAATTTCATGCTGTCGAAAGCTGACTAATAAGAATTCCTCTTCCTGTTAACATCTGCATCCGTTGCTGATGACTGGTCATGGGGCAATCAAAAAAGGCATATTTAATTCTGGGGGAAAAGGCAGGCTGCAGGACTTCAGCGCCAGGGCACAAACTCAGCAAGCTGCGTAGGCTTTGCTCTTCTGGCATAATTGATTGCCTTAAAAATTACTGAGTGGAGCAGCTCTTTTTTTTTTTTTTTTTTTCTACAGTCATGTAGTGTGCACGAGAACGCGGCAGGAGCTGAGTGCCCACAGTTAGAATGAGATACCTGCTGTGGTTCCTGATTGAGAAATCTCTTTTAGACCCTATTTGCTGCCTTGCAGCGTTGGCAGCCAGTGTGTTTCTGGAGGAATGAAGCATGAAGTATTCCAGAATGAGATTAACTGGCATGAGGAATTGATAGTACACCTCCCGTGTTGTATTCGGATCCTTGTCATGTGGCAAATGGAAAGCCTCAGTTTTCTGGGGTACATGTTTTGCTTTAATATTGGGTGTGTTTCCTGCTTAGGAACCTCCCCGTGGTTCCAAAATGCTTCAGTGCTAGCATATAAATATACATACATATGTATATTTATTGAAGCCATCGTGCTGTTCCTCCGCAAGCACTTCTCTCATTGTCAAGTCAGCTGTGAGCAGTCCCCACGCCTGTGACTTGTGTCCTAATCAGCAAACTCTCCTTTATTTTTTTTTAGGACTATCTTCCCTCACAGCAAGATATACTGCTGGCACGAAGACCCACAAAAGGGATTCACGAGTACGACTTTGAAATAAAAAATGTTCCTTTCAAAATGGTTGATGTAGGTGGCCAGAGGTCAGAACGGAAACGTTGGTTCGAGTGCTTCGACAGTGTCACATCAATACTCTTCCTTGTTTCCTCAAGTGAGTTTGACCAAGTGCTTATGGAGGATCGGCAGACGAATCGCCTCACGGAATCCCTGAACATTTTTGAAACAATAGTCAATAACCGGGTTTTCAGCAACGTCTCAATCATTCTCTTCTTAAATAAGACGGACTTGCTTGAGGAAAAAGTACAGAAAGTGAGCATCAAAGACTATTTTCCAGAGTTTGAAGGGGATCCCCACTGCCTAACAGATGTCCAGAAATTCCTGGTGGATTGTTTTCGTACCAAACGCCGGGACCAGCAGCAGAAGCCCCTCTACCACCACTTCACCACTGCTATTAACACAGAAAACATCCGGCTAGTTTTCCGTGATGTCAAGGATACCATCCTTCATGACAACCTCAAGCAGCTTATGTTACAGTGATGTGCAAAAAAGACGTTTTTATTTGAGTAACTTTTGTGTGTTGTTTTTTGTTGTGTTGTTTTTTTTTTTAACTAGAAGTTTACAGCAGGAGTAGAGAAATCCAGATCCTGTCAGACTTCTTGATATGTGGCTAAAAGCTGCTGCTGAACACATTATTGCCAATTTCTGCAGAAATTCAGGCTTAATCTCTTCCAGTGTAGCTTCAAGTTGACTCAAGTTGTAATTTTATAGCAGACCTATGTCTAAGTTACCTGTAAAGCGATACATTTGATCTTTTATGAACATGTATATTGTCCTAGAAAATCCATTCCACCTTCAGAATTCCAAGTCCAAACTTCAGTGAAATTGTTGTAATTGTTAGACTGTGGCAGCAATTTAAAGGGGGAGAAACGTCTCATATCTAACTTCATTATAACAACTGTGATACCGTAGCTGATGAATGATTTCTCAGGTCTGTTGTTGATTAGGAATCCCATAAATCCCTTGCTGGAATCATGTATTTGAAGCCAGGATTCCTGGGTGTAACGTACCTCCTGTTCAAGTATAAATCATTGTGTGGGGTTTGACTGGGAGATGCTTCAAAAAGACTGGGATCAGGAGCTTCAGACACATCCATGAGGAAGTCCTGGCGTGGGCAGAAGTCTAGTGATGAGGAAGGATTGAAGGGCACAGGGCACGTTTCACTCTGACGCCTTGAACATACATCCCAGAGCCATAGCAAAGCACAGAGCACTCGGATACAGTCCTCTTGAAATTCTGATGTGGGAGGGGGGAGCAAACTAAACTTGTGTTTCTTATCTTCACTAACCAGATGTTACATGTAGGTACTTTACCTGTTCTTGAAGCGCTTTAATAGAGCACTGGGTTAGTTTTACTCTCTTCATGTCTTCTTACAGTGTGTGCCTCCTCTTAATCAGTGGGCGTTTGGTGACGGATAGAAGTACTTGCAAACCTAAGTGCCTCCTTCTGTTCTGTCCTCCTACAGTATTTTCAGTGGCCTTATGTGAGCGTATGTGTTGCCAGCAGAGGCCTTGTATAGCTGACACCATGAAGATGAATGTTTTATTCTGGAAAAGAGAACATGTCACAGCAGCATGTGAGGTTCTTTCTGAGACTTTCCAATTGGGTCTAGTAATCCTAAGTGTACTTGAGCCAAATATGTTGCACAGCACACTGCAGAGTGCTGCTTGTGATTGAGAATATTTAACCAAAAAGCTCCATTGTAGTTTCATTTATTTTTTTAACTTTTTTTAGGGGGGGTTGTTACTGTTGCCATGTGGAAAATACTTCTTGCCCAGAAATCCTCGTACACCACAGACCATACTACAAACTGAGAATAAAGTTGTGTTTAAAAAGTGATGCCACTGCTGAGTTTCCCCTGAGTGCAGTGTCATGTGTTCAGCTTCCCACCTTGCCCCATGGAACTGGCCAATTCCTGTGGATCATGATGCTGGCCAACACTTCCTTAAATGAATTTTTATTAACATATCCAGGTGTGGGAAGCAGTGTGCCATCCTGTTCTCACTGCTGGGAGCAGTGTCCCTGCTAGAACATAGGAAAGCTGCCTGTCTTCTGAACTTAGCCTTTTACTTACTGTGATTGTAAGTTGTATTAACATCTCTGTACCTCGTTCCCCTGTCAGTAGGAGGGGAATATTGTATTTTTATTTAGTTAGGTGCTTTGAAAGACCTTTATTTTTTTATATCATTCAATGAGTAGTCATAGATTAGTCTGCAATTTCTGCAATAAGGCACTATTTTGGGAGGAAAGAATTCTGAAAAGAGCTTGAGAAGTCACAGTGCATAATCTCAGTAGCAAAAGAAAGACTGCGTGCAACACTGATGTCAGGAGCATTAATACAATCTTCAGACAGGGATATTTAATGTAGATTTTGTGTCCTTACTGGATATGGTTACTTCTGGTTTGGTGTCTTCAGGTCATATGTGAGCAGTTCAAGAAGGATGATGAACTAGAGGCTTCAAAAAAGGCTTGTGAGGAAATTTTAAGGGTTGGACAGCATGCTTGTCATGGGAATCCCCAAGTTGTCCATTTCCCCCTTTGGGAAAGGATGACATTAATTTGGTTTAGCTATAAATGCTGCATGAGCAGACGACAAACCTCTGTCCAGTAGCCTCAAAGTCTACTGCTGGAAAGCAGAAATTTAACAAAACCCTGCCCTTGCTAGTCAACAAGAAGCAGGTTGTGGGGTTTTTTTTCCATTGCTGACAATTATCTGAACAAGTTTCTTTCAAAAGAGACTTTGCTCTGATTAAAATAAATAATTTGGAGAGTGTCTGTAGTATGTGTTTTGCAGGGTGTCAGACTAATGATTGCAGAAAAGACTGAAGACTGGATAGTGAATGATATGAAGATTAACAGGAATTTGTCTAAACAAATGTGTTTTTGTAAAATGTTGATGAATTTGGGGTCAAGGGACCTGTTTATTTGCTAAAGATCCTCGAAACTGGTGTCAGACTAAGGATATAGTCAGTATCACCAAGGCACTGGGCACTTCTGACATGAACTAAAGTGGGGAAAATATTCAGCAGGCTCTCCCCTAAGCGAACAAACAAAAAACCTTGGTTTTAATCCTTTCAGATCACTTTCCCTGGGAACACCAGGGCCTGTAAGATAAGTTGGACCCCACACTGTTGGGTCACTTCTGACAAAGTAGGCCCTGGTAGATAAGCACTATATGAATCTCAGGCAGAAATGAGTTATTTTAATGGAATGACTGAGTCAAATCACTTGTTTCCCACTCCTCCAGAGGGGGTGAGGCAACGAACCTTGGTGTAACTGTTTACATGGTTCCTATGTTAACATTCTGGCTAAACAAACCCTTGGGCTTTTCCATCTTCAGACTTATTCTTCATGAGCTACCTGAAAAGGATCACAGTGCATACTGTTGGATTTCTTTTTAGATTTGTTTCTAAATACTGTTTCTTCATAGCAGGATATTATTTTGGTACAAGAGCTGAAGGATTGATGTTTTGAACAGACTTTTTTTTTTTTAATCCTGAAGCAAACAACTGACTCACAGTTGGCTACTGAGAGTCAAACATGTTCATGTCAACCAGTCTGTGGTACAAGGTCAGGACAGATTTGTAGTAAAGGTGGGAAAGCAGGTAGAAAAATCAAGTTTCCCAAAACTCGCCTAGTTCTTTTTGATGGAGTGAGCTCTTTTAAACCTGATCACTGATCAAATGGAGATATACCACTGTCTTGTACAGCCTTCCTGTACTTGAAGATGAAATTGGTGTTTTAGTGACTGTTCTCTGCTGCAGTGTGTTAGATGATTGATACCTGAAAACTGTGGCTATTCATCAGGGCTTTAAAAATTTTACCTTTTTTTTTATATTGTTTGTGGGAGCATAAGCCATCAGTTTGTGTAAAACTTAAGCTTTCTTCTAGAGTATCTGCTCTTAAAAAACCTAAGTCAGGTGGGTTCCTTGATCTCAAAGGCTGTATATTGGACTCATTTGTCTAGTCAGTAGCTTTACATTTTGCCCATCAGAATTATTCTAGCAAATTGCTCAGATCAGGTGGGTGTTTCAAGCTTCATGACACTTGGCTAATAATAGTATTCACAATCAGTCCCAGATAGCATGGTCAAACTGTGTCTGCTTATCATGTTTGGGAGCAACTCACTGCTTGGAGACTGAGAACTGTGCATGTTTGACATGTCCATTGCCCTCGGAAGGTTTCTGTGCTTATTTCTCTTTCAGGACGGTTGCGGAAGGTTAATTTTCCAACAATATCATTTCCTGTTTCAAAATGATCTGAAGTTTCACACCGTACCAAACTGTTCACAAGTTCATTTTACAGGTCTTGGCTGTTTGATGGTACCATTAACATAGTTTGTTTTAATTACACAGCATTGCAATACAGTGCCATTTTGCAATTTCTTTGCATTGTACTTGAAAATAAGTTGAATTGCAGACTATTTAAAACCGCTTTCCTGCGCTTCCAGTAGCAGTGAGAGCTCATCTTACGTGAAGCCTTTATGTAAAAATCTATTTTGTAACAACCTCATAGATCTTTAACAAAACCAAGATTTGTATTAGCTTTGTATAAATGTTTGTGGCTTACAATTTTATATGTTTAACTTTTTATAAACTTTCCAGGGACTACTTTTTATTGTACATTTTTTTTTTCCCTCCTTGCTTTAGTTGAAGATTGGCAATAAATTATTTCTAAGGGAGGTCTTAGAAGAAAAAGCATCACTTCCTTTTTATAAAATGGTTGAATTGATGAATAGTTTAAAACCTCTTACACTCGCTTGTACATTGCTCTGTACATACTCTCCAAAAGTGTTGCCTTTCAGCTATTAATATTTGCCTTGTGTACAAAAATTACTGACGATGAATAAACATATACAGCCTCATCTTGGTATTAGGATTATTTTTTTTCAAATTAATAACGTGTGGGGGCAGCCAACTGCCTTTCTCTGTTGGGTGGCCAAGGCCAAGGCTGTTTTGCTCCTGCCACATCTTGTGTTTCAACTAAAATATTTAATAGTATAAATATATAAATATAATAGTATAAATATAAAAATATTTAATAATATTTAATATTTAATTTAGTCTTTGGTCTCACAAGCTCTTTGCTAAAAGGGCTCATCCACGTTCTTGTTCAGCCTGATTACTTCCCTCCAGTAGAGATACAAAGGGAAATTGCTGACTTGCATTTAGCAACCCAAGTGGTGCTCAGTGAGTAAAATATTGATGGCACTGTCGTAAGTGACAAGCCTCTGTATAAATTACATTTCTCAGTATTGCAGAGTTAAGTTTTTTTAACCTGTTTTCTGCATATGACAGACTCTGCCTCCTCTAGGAGTGGATCTCTGGCTGTGTTGCAGTGGCTGCACTGTGAGTGTTTTGCAGCAAAACATTTGATTTCTCCTTGTCAGTTTTTATAGGCCTGAGGTGCTTCATTTTCCACAGCAGCCCTTCGATTTGACTGGCGTGCTGTGGACACTGAATGTTTGAGAGTGCTCAGAGCAAGTCATGCTTGTTTATAGAGTTAGTGCTCAAATTAGTATTTGTCTTGGTAATTGCAATCCATACACTGTAAAAATTCTTAGTGTGTGTGAATGTTGCTGTGGATAGATAGGAACCTGCACACAGGTTTGTATCAAATAAACATAGTTTGTGAAGTTCCTCTGACTTTGAAAACAGATCTTTGTAGGCTTTTTGGAAAGCTTTTGTTTTCTTGCACCATATTTCCTGAGTT